TGCGTGTAAAATACATTGTTTATTTACATGAACACGCGCGGCGCGACGATCACCGCCAGTAGTCTTGTAGTCCACCATCTCATCCACCTTATTCAGACTTTAATTCTTGCTAATATTGTCATTTATATTGACGTCGGTTTTGCACTGACACTGCACTTTTGAGTCAAGGACGGGTCATAGTGATTAAACTCGAAAAACAGGCAATTGTGCTAATATGCTTAACTAAATATCAAAACGACACGTTTTACACTCAGTACAGTGACACAGCAGATTCAGGGCAAATATCACGTACTGAAACAGCGTCTATGCATGGTGACTCAGCAATCCTAACTTTACGCACGCAGTCGTATTTACTTCATAAATTAATGATTAACGGGTGACCAGAGTCAGCATGACCCATGCTCGATCAGTGCACTGTCACTGAACAATGCGAACGTGGCCTGCTGTGGTCGAATACGTCACTGCATGGACAAGACCAGATCAGTAGTCATGGCGGGAATATAAACAGAGTGCAGTGTGTAGCGAATACGGGACGAGCCTTGTGTGGATAATTTTTAGCTGAGAACCCATATTTACAGTTTGAGGAAGGAAATGTACCTAGTAATAAATAATTTAGGGTCTATCTTATTTAATAAATGAACACTAGACGGCGCTGTTCACTTGCATGAAACAACCTTTCTTCTGTTCTCCAAATTGCTGTATAGTTTGAAGCTTTGCTGGAGTAGTGGTGATTTTTGTCACCGGTAAACGAACAAGTTTATAACCACCCTATATAGTTTTTAGATGACTAAGGAAATCTCCATCACCTGGTTGTATCTTTGAATGGATGAAACACAGAAATATGAACTTTGGAAGTAATGAACGTCCGAAGAAAAGCAAAATACGCGTCAATATTGTTGATCGGTTGATGAACTCTGCATCTATCAGATATATTGTTAGGAATCAGAAAGTGTGACAGAGTGGGTTAAAGTAAACACAATTTTGCACGTTGCATGACTGGAAACTGATAGAGAACTAAGATAAATGCACAGTGTGTTCGGTATTTGAGACTGGACCCCATGAGCGTAGATTCTGTGTATACCGGATGTTATGCGTCAGATCATGTGAAGTTTTCGATGATTCGTCATAGATCAACTGGAGCATCGCTTAACAAATACGTTGTCATTTCAGCAGATATTTGTCTGCAAATACTGTTACATTTAATGATGAAATATATGAAATGAAACTATATTCGAATGGGATTAACATGATCAGTTCTCGTTGCCACCGTTTCTGCTCGCTGTCCATGTCACAAGATGTTCGCAAAGACTGACTTTACGGCCTCAACCATTTCGTTTGTCATATTGAAAAACAAACAAACATATATTTAATTCAACAATTTGAAAATAGCTGCATCACATAGCATGGAGTATGACAGAATCAAAGACAGATAGATTTGATAATTGTATAACGGCTAACATGATTCTTCTATGGGCTTTTGTACTAAGTGTAAATAAATTAAAGCTACAACATTTTATTGCTTTGTCACATTTAATTAACTATCTATAATTAACCGATTTGATGATACGTGTATTGTAAAAACAGTGTGGTATTAATATTCATAACGATTGTATAAAGCAGGTTATTGCCAATTTGTTGTACTAAAGGCTAAAATTACAATTATGTTAAAATACAATTATGTTTGGATAGGCGAATTGAACTTATATTTCGTTCAAATGATGTTCTTTGTCCTCGAGGGTTCCATTTTCCGTGTCGGTAGTTAATAACCACAGTTGTTGCCAGTTTCTTGGCAGATACACGCTCGCTGTGCATCTGGATCGGTGATTTTGCGACATTTACCAATACCACGAGTTTCTTGGATGTTTCTTTCCTGTTTTTCAATATCTCCACTGGTATTGTCTTCAACAGGGTCAGATAAGGCCAGACCAATCACCAACAGGCACATAACAAGGGTTATTGTGAAACGCATAATGTCAAATGCAATCGTTCGGCTGAAACAAAAATCAATGCTGTTAATAATGATAAATCTACAGTTTATTTATTTATCTGTATATATTGGGAAATAATGTCAAACATATGCGATTGCAATCACAGTCAGCTGGCGTACAAGTGATAATAAAATAAATGCGATTTCTCTACGGATATTTACTTTATGGAGGTAGCCATATATGGCTTGAAACTAAATAAAAAATATATGTTAAGAAACATTTTTTTTCACTTTACTTCAAATCGGGGGGAAAATACCAAACTTATATAATAGCTTAAACTAAAAATAAGTCACTGGTATTACGAAATAGTTTGTATTGTATCTTCTATTTTACAGTTCATTTTGGAAAGCGTGACTTGATTGAATAATGTACATTATGTGAATATTCCCGCATGAAAGCGATGCGCCCTTCCGGGTGGGGTGCGTTTCCTAGATGAATACGTGGCACATTTTTCAATTATGGGCATATTTTACAGGAATCCTAACAAAATTATAATTTATTCAATTACATTGAGCTTTTGACAATACTGATCACAAGTACATAGCATAACAACAAAATACAAAATATCCATCAATGAACAAAACAAAATAAACACTATTCATATAGCCATATTATCATAGATGTGCATGTGTGGATTGGCATGCTAAAGACATACTCGGTGTCAATGTTTCAGCAATATACTTCGGTGATAACGTCGTTTTCAAGCATAATATATAGACACAAAATGGTGAGCGTCTACAAAATAATGACAAGTGTGTCCATTTCTAAATATATATATATAACGAAGTAACGTGAATGTGAACGTTGTTGTGTAGACAGTCGACAGTCCTCGGGCCTAAAGTAATTGTGTTTCCTAGACATTCGAACGCCATAGGAGTTTGATTGGAAATGCGAACCATTTCACGCGAGGGATTTTAGTCCCGAGAGACTTCCCCCGTCTGCAGGTTTCTAGTTGATATGAATAATTCATAGTTGATGCCGACGTCACGAAATAAATTATATTAACATAATGCATGCACATTTATTCTAAATGACCCCCTGAATGCGTTGGTTGCTCGCGTCAAAATTTCAACTGCTGTGGAAAGTGTCGCGATCGCGTATAGTACAGGAAAAAACAAACTTCGCGTAAGTCATGGGCGATCCTAGTCGCCGGCGACCCCTGATCCTTTTAACGATTGGCCACGATAAAATGATAGACATCTGGGCGACTATTCATTTGCATATGAAAGTACCCGGATCAGGTAAGAAATCTTACCAGTGAACTGCGGCACCGGACAGTCGGCCGTGCCTAACGGCACTTCATACTTCCTATTCCGGCGTTCGCAATTTATTCACGCCTATTACGTTTATACACAATATTTATTAATAATAACAGATTTATCTTAGATACGACCGACTGTCGACAGTCTAGTTGTTGTGCAGATAACCAAGCATTCGCAAAAATAAGCTAAATCGATGGATATATTATCTTTGAACTCACACAAAAAACTATTGAAGGGCTAATCCTTCATCCACGCCTATAATTAAAATGAACAATAACATCTGTGTACATGGAGTGGGGTGTTTGAATATTTGCTATTTTCGGCGCTATGCAAATTCCAAGATCTAGATAGAACTTTGCTGACCAAGGAGTACAGTTGAGTTCATTAGTATTTGCAATTGATTTTGCCTACATTCAACTGCTGGGCTACCAGGTCAACTAGAGGCAAATACATTTTCACCTTCAAGATGAACCATCTATATCTTGACTAACCTTATATAACGCAAGTATGTGTGCTGAATAAATACTATGATTTGCCATACGTATTGCAATATAGTTAGACTGAAATATGTGGTAGCACTACATAAAACTAAGTACTAACCTGTTGATCGTTCTTCGTTGCGTATACTGACTGGAAGATCTTGGTACTGGAAGTAGTATTGCGGTGATCTGTAGACATAAGTAATCGCTTATATAACAAATGTTCATTTAAAGAGACGTATTATCCGTTTGGGTTTTTCACGAGAACCTGTCATTTTATTTTGTTACAATGCTATTAAATTGTTTTATAATGATGAAGCATGGTATTATTGTGTGGTCTATAAAATGTGTGAAGTAGTATCTTCAGAAATGATTACCCTTAAATGTACGCCTTATCACGCAATTCTGTACAATTACATGGAGGTTATTAAACCAAAATGTTCTTTCGATAAACAGGTTTTGTCTCGCTTAACACTTAAATGGTCAATTTTGGAAAACATCATGATACACACATATACATTAAATATTTAAATTATACCAATCGATATTATGAAAGATACAATGAAAGTAATCAACATGAAATACATTATTATTACTTAATAACTGAAATTATTATATGAATATCGTCTCGCAATAGTTATTTCATGCACTGTGTTTACAAAATAAGTGCAATATTCGTAATCGTAATCACAAAATGTCTTGCATTTATGAACAAACTCCTGGGATAAAATAGTGAAGCACTGCAAACTTCACTACCGAGAAATAATTACAGTGTAAATTCTGTCGTGTAATTTTTTTTAAGCAATGCGACATTATTTCATTGCTTCCACAGCTATTAGGTTTATTAAGACGGGATAGAATATATGTTATTTGGACATAGACTGACCAACCGTTATGTAATAATTAGTAGCGCTCGGTGATTTTTGACACAGACGCATCCTGGGAAACGAATTCTTCAGCTAGCTTATATTTGAAAATCTGCAGATGAATACTGACACATTTGTTTATTTGTAGATTCTA